AAAATGTGAGATTCTATTTAGAAAAGAGCATTTTTAGCTGTAACTTTATGATTTCTATTCTTACTAAATAAATTACTTAGTACCATACAGAAATGTTCAACAGACTATCGACAAATTGATGTCTGTGACAAAAATACTGAGAATGGTAGTTCTCTCTTGAGTCAAAAAGCAGAGAAATTAGGTTTATTTTACAAGTGGTATTAAGGTATTGAGACTTCATTTATTTATTTTGAATAACTGGAAACTTTTTCAGTTTCTTGTCTTCATGTGCTATAACTTCTTTCCATTCTTTGGTATGCAAGCATATGTATGAGTGAAACTAAATGCATCAGTCTGCAAAGATTTTCTTGTTTGTAAAAAGAAAAGATAAACAGGTATTAGATTTGGTTTGAGATTCTAATTTAAAATATCAAATTATCTTTTAAATTATTTCTCTAGGGGTAGCTAGATAGTGAAAATAGTTGATTTTTTTACCATTTCATTTTCTCACTTGACATTTGTGTTCTTGTCAATAGATTTCTCTTGATATGTCATTTGCTTCTTTTGTAGTAGTGATGGTTCAGTCTTCACTCACAGTTGATGATTTTCAGTTGTTGCAGGCTTTTATCACTTTGGTCCTTTGTTAGGGGAAGTCGTGTAAACAATGAACAGACTTTTTCCTTTTCTTCACCTGACATCATTGATGTCACTTTTGAGGCTGGATTTATTCACAGAACTGAATCTTTTCTCTTTTGCAGCCCTGTCAAAAAATCTAATGTTGTAATTGAGGCCTGAAAGAATTTCAGGCTTATTAATGAATGAGTAGACTATGGATTTTATATTTTCCTTAACCTTCTTTTTTTTGCTCCAGTGTGCAACTAAGTTGCCAAGCATTGCAAAGATTCCTCCTGTATCATTCTATTAATGTGTGTAACACAACCAACAAATTGCATGACTCTCTTTGCAGTTAAGGGATTTGGAATCATAAAAAGATTACGATTCAGCACTGTTTGCTTTAAAGTATTTCAGAGTCGATAAAAAATCCTAACCTGTTTTATGACCATTTCATAAACTGACATTGTTTTCATAACAATGCATGACATTCGTTCGCTCTATAAGAAATTTTTATCACTTGTTGTGCAATTCAGACAATTATAATAAACAATAGTTGCTAACAACAATCTAATGCTACCTGTCTTAAATGTCATGCAGTATCTACTATCTAAAAGTGAGAGTATGTATGTTTATATATGCCATTAACACTTTACAACTCAAAGTTTTTGTGTGTGATCAGACCCAAATGTGGAATGAATACTTTTCAGTTGCCTAGAATAAAATATAACATAATTGCAATTAAAACAGGTACCCCGAAGTGTTTTTTCACAATATTTACATGAACTTTGTGTTGACTCACTTTAAGAAATGCATGTCATAGACTAACACTACATTTTATGCGGAACGGTCAAAGCACTTGTATTCTGATTCCCGTGAGATAGTTGTATGCTACTACACACGTTACTTAACACATGTAAATGCAAAATTTGTGGGCTGGGGCCATTAGTTAAATGCAATATCCAATGCATCTGGGCAGCATTGTTGGGAGGTGAGAAAGGGTTGAGCGGGTCTAGATGGGTCGGGTGGAGCTAGGAGCAGCACGTATATCGAGTAGAGTAGAAAGAAAGCAAAGAGTGGTGGAGTAGAGGGAGCAGAAACAGAAGAAGTAAAAGGAGAGGGAGGAGCAGGAAGAGGAGGTAGAGCAAGAAAGCTGGCCAGGTGAAAGAGGTGATTGCAGTGATAAAATAAAATAAAAAAAAAAAGAAAAGAGCGGACAGAGTGAATAAGTAAGAGGTAGGACTGAAAGGCAGGGTGGGAGGTGGAGGAGGGTGGCCGCTTTCTGGAAAAGAATGGAAAGCCGGGAAATACCAGGGAGTTCATTGCTCTGGAAAAGTTAGAAAACTCGTGGAATTTGTAGAATTGTTAGCAGTCAGGAAAAAATTTGAGATGGTTTTGTAATTAATATTGTTCCTTAAAAAAATCAGTCCAGTAAAAAATAGCAACTCAATTTTTTTATTTGTTAAGAATTTTTTAAACTCTGTATTTCTATCACAATGACAAATGCTAGCTGACAAATTAGTATCAAGCTTGTTTTAATATTTAAAAAAAAAATAAGGGTAAAATACTGTACAAATCGTAAAACTTCAAAATAAAAAATGCACCGGAAAACTGGGAAACCCAGTTTTGTTCCAGGAAGTGAGTGGCCACCCTGAGTAGGCAGGATGGCGGGATAGGGAATGCAGGGTTAGGTGGATAAAGTGTGCGAGTCTGCGTAACATAAGATTGTGATTAATAACATTTATATCCCAGCAAAATCCTTAAAAATATTTAATATGCAAGCAAAGTCAGGTATTCAACTAATGGTAAATAAATGTGAAGGTTTTCTGAAATGGTAGCTTTAGTGAGAGAAAGTCAGCTTATTTTTTTGGCCAATTTCTAACATGTTTCCTCTTTATTATTTTTATACACAAAATACAATTTGTGAAGAAAGTATTAAGATTAATGTGCATGCCCACAAAACGTAGTGTGAAATGTTATCTTTCAAAATAAGTTGTGCAACTGCAAAAATTTAATTAGGCGATACAAAACTTGCGAAATCTGTTTTTCTTTAAATCTTCTCTTCTGAGAACTACAGGAATTTATGTGTTCATACACTTGCACTAAGCACTAATACGTACCTAGAACTTGTACCTGTTAAAATTCACCTTGAGTTGATATTGTGCACTATTAAGATAAGGTCCTTAATGAAACAAATGTTGGCACAGATGGCATTGATGTCAACCGTATCTCAGTCAACCTTTGTGTCATTGTTTTCTTCTTGAATTTAATAAAACAAAAATACTGTACATTGCAGTGTTATTTGTTTATAAGTTAACTTAAGAATAATTTGATTGTTATATTCATAGTTTTGTTGTTCATTTCGTTAGCCAATTGAAATAAGGATAGTTTCATAGAAAATTTCTGAGAAAATGATGTATAAAAAATGTTTGTGGAATAGTGTATATTATTTATGAGCTTAAAAATTTCAAAGTATTTCCTAGTCATTGAGGATTATAAGTAATTTACAAAATAAAACAACAGTGGATGATAGTCTCATCTGTGAATGAAGTTAACAGTAGGTCTCAGCAATTCAGAGATAGAATTCACAATGTTTGTGTGTTGTTATGATGGGGAAGTTTCAAGTAGATAGACGATTCATAAGGAGTGAATTACTAATTTTATTTTAAGTGCACCTATTATTTTTTCCCTGTTTGTGCTTTTGTGCACACTTTTAGTTGTATGACAGTAAAGCGACAGTATCTCATCATCAATCTGCTGAACAAGCAAAACACAGATCAAAAAATATAGTGGTGGTCCTGGTTCAGGAATTTTACAGGAACATACTGATGGACCATATATTCATGTGTCAAGAGCAAATGCCAGTGTGTTTGCTTCAGAGTTTGCATATGAGCTCTAGGATAAATATAAAAGCTGTGTTCAAATAATTCTGTGAGGTTAGTAGAAAATTCCATCTGTAAAATACTGGTGTATCTTCATTGGTAATGAACATTATCTTAAAGAGAGCATTCACAAAACTAAGCATGTTTTATGAATAAATGCTGCTCATTCAAGGGGTTTGTAGGGCACTTCAGAAACCCACAATATACTTTTGCTTTTTATATTTTCACTATAGAGAAAAGTAATGGATTAATGGGAGCATGCGCTTTATGTCTGTGTTCTCAAATTAAAATGTAAACTGCCCTGTTCTTTTAGGATAATTATAAAGATTTCAATTCTTGCCTTCCTCTTTTTTGATACAGCTAATAAAAAGCAATTCCTGGAAATAAACACCCATAAAATGTAACAAGATTAGCATTTCATTTGTCTTCAAAAATGACTTGCATAACATAAAATATGAATTTAAGAACAAGTTATTAGTTCACTTGATAACAAAGTTACTCCTAACTGCAACTTTAAGATACAATTTCTGAAAAATTTAATACAGGAGTTCTGCTACACATTTCACACAACCACCTTGTCAAGAAAGGTAATGGATATAGTGTTTAGTACACAGGTGTTCTTTCCCAACCTCGACGAAGTTACTACTTGGCTCACGTGGCTGCTCCAGATGATTGCTGGATGATGCATATTGGCCCCGAGGGTCCATACGACATCTCTTGGACGGAGGTCCCTCTCCCCTATGACCATGGAGAGCCGCGCTGCTTCCACGGCGCATGCCTGGTCGCACCTGGGGAATTGGTCCTTCATTCAGGGCTCACCCAGCCCTTTTATCTGACGCGTGTCAAGCTCAAAGTATGCGCCTGTGTTGCTGCATGGTGTTTGTGTTGTGTAGCGATGCTAATATTGCCTTGCTGTGTTGATACATGCACACATCCTTTACAAAATATATAGATCAGGGTGACGTATGTTTTTGAAATGAAATTCTTTAGTTAACAACATGGAATTAAAATAGGGCAATAAAATTGTTGAAATTTGATTTGGAATGTTCATAGAACCCACAATAGGAAGAAAATAATATTCCATAAAAAAATTGTGAAACAAACCGGTACATGTACTCTGCAATATGAAAGAAATTTTTTTTTTCCCCCACTCTTACAAATGTGTCGTGTAAGTGGGAGTAATTTTTGTTTTTAACCAGAACACTATTACGGCCCAGTATTGAAGACTTCTTTCTGAAACCAGTTTTGATTGTCGGTTACATCATTAATGACAAGAGTCTTGCTTAATCTATTAATTTAAATTAATTAATTTTTGTTACATAACTCGAATTTCAGACAATAAAAATCTGACAAAAGGAATCTCTGCAAACCCAAATGTCACCCAATATAATTTATTTGCACTGAGCTTTTTGTAAACTGATTATTTGCAGATCCCCCAAAAAATGTTAAATGTGTTAAAAAAACATGGGAAAAAGATTATTCAAAATGAAACTAATTTTTCTAAGGTTCCAGGAAAGCGTAAATGCATGCAAATAAATGTATTGTTTCTTATTGCATTTATGTGTCCACTCAAAACTATTAACTTGTACTGAATTTTGAATAATGCTCCCAAACTAATGTTTTCAAAACTTGCACATTAAGCCCAAAAGTCAATATTTTGACTGAAAGATATTAGAAATTGGATAGTCTCTCCAAACATTGTCAGACATCTCTACTTCTAAGACTACTGCATTTTATATTAAATAAATTGTCTCCTTGAATCATAAAGAAGAGTAAAGTTCTCTTGAGAAATGTTTAAGAACGTCGAAATACTTTTGGGTTTAAATCAACTTATGCCACTTGTGAGAATGCTGAGATTCTGATTATTTAAACTTATGACTAAATCATCCAAAAGATATCTGTCAAGATATATTTTTAGGTAAGAGAATTGATTTTTCCCTGTTGGTGCGCATTGTACATTATTTTGTGTTTTTATTTTTATTGAGATTATTTGATTGCAACACACATTTCTTCATTTTAGAAGTTCTCAAAGAGGCTAATCAGAAAATGTATTATTCCTCATTTTGTGGTATTCTCTCAAGATTGCTTCTGGAAGTACCATTTAGAGTATTTCACCTGGATAACTTTTGCTTATTATTTAACATATTTTCCTTCTGTCCATTATCAATCCAACTTGAATAGAAATATGTGCAGGAACTTAAAATTACAGATACAGGTATGCAGCCCATTAAAAAAAATCAGTCGTTGATAGAAACATGTTTTTGATGTTGAAATAGTGCTTTTTAAATTTAATTTTATTTATTTGTGGAATTCAACATATAGATGTTACAATCTGTGTAAGATGTATTTAGATACAACTCATCCACCCGAACCAATTTGTCTTCTCTTTTGTGGTTCAGATATTTGTGATTCAGGTATTTGTGATTATTTGAAATGAATGCTTTGCAGACTTGTGTAGTGTGTAAATGTCTTTTGAGTAACTCATGTGTTTGACAAAACTAAAATACAACTCTTTTGCATTTAGTATGATAATTAATATTACTTAATTTAATCTTACCTTCTTTTCAATTATCCATAAAATGAAATATATGGTAAAAAATGATGGGTAATTTGTGATTTTTGTATTGAAGTCTTCCAAATATTTTTTTTATAATCAATTATTACGTATAAATTCTTGAATCTTTTTTTAACATTTTAAAAATTAAATGTGTTTGTTGTGTAGGATCACGCAGAAGAATTGGTGGTGCTTAACTTTACCCCAAAGACATTACTCAGGTAAGATCTGTTTCTAAAGATTTCACTCAATTTCATTTTGAGAACATCAATTTGTCTTGACTCTCTCTACTACATTCTCTCTCCCCTCTCACCGCTTTTGTTCCCTCCTCCCACCTTTTCCCAAATTTCCCTTGTCCCATCCTCCCACATTTTCCCAGGTTTCCCTTGTCCTCTGTGCAACACTGCTTTACCCCAACTGTCACTCAGTATTTTAATCAGACAATTATATATTTCAAATGAATACATGTGGTCGCTTCATGTGAGTTTTCTCTGCACTTTCTACTGTGTCTGCTACATGGACGACAAAATCTGGATATCTTTACCGATGTCTGCTGTCAGCTATGGTATAGCAACACAATGATACTGATTCTAAGCCAAGAGTCAATTTTTAAAATACAAAAAAATAAAAAAGGAGGGGAAAAAATGGCAGCTTACAATCTTGGTAAATACAGCACTCCCTCTAACAAGTTACGTAGTCAGATTTCACAAAAAGTGAAATTGAATCTTAATACCAAAAAGTGTTGTATTTTTTTCAAAACATCTATCGGTTGTGCCCTGTATCAACACTTTTGAGGAAGTTTATTTTTTTCTTTCGTACATTGAGGGTGCAGTTTCTCATCAGGTCATCTTGATGTGTCTGATGTTCGTTTTCTAAAATTTTTATTTTTGTGTCTTCGGAATAGCACTACTACCAAAAAAAAAAAAAAAGAAAGAGAGAAAGAGAGATTTATTACCTATGATCTATGAGATTACCTATGATCTATATTGTTCACAATAAGTGTAGCTCATTAAATTACAATCTAATGTAAATGAAACAAATGGAATCAAAATCAGAGTGCTTACATTAGACTGGTCATGAATTGTCCTACGTTTGTGTTAGAGTCCCCAACCAATTCATTTCTTTTTCATAGTAAGAGGCCAGTGAAAATGTCAAAGTAGTCAACTTTGACACTTCATTGATCGACAAGCTCTGAAATTATTCATTTCTTTGATAAGTCGTCATAATGTAAGAGTATTTATTTCACATCCAAGATCTCGTAACATGACTTGTAGATCCTTATTATTTCCTTTATTGTTTTTTAACACAAGTATTTTTACCATGAAGTCTTGTTTTGTGGAAGATTTTCTGGGTTGTTTGTGCAATTTGAACAAATTGTGGAATTAACGCTTGAAATCGTCTTCTCTTTATTCTTCCCACATTTTGGGGTGAATCCTTTGTTGGTTTTGCATTTTCAGTGTTTTTCAGTTCAGTACAATTCAGCATAAACTCAATCCCCCTCTTCTTTAAATATAATGCCACTTTTCTTTCCCGTGATTCTTAATGAAAGTTACCTTCAAAACCACTGCCCTTTAAATTGATGAATCTGAGCTAAAACAACACTTCTCACTATCAGAAACACAAATAAAAAGATATATAGATAAGCAGATAAACTTGCTTCTTCTCAGAGCAAACATCTCCTTAAAAACTGAAAAATTGCAATCCACTGGAAGTGGGCAGTTGCGCAATATCTGAGATCTATCAGTCAATTTGGAAATTGAAAGTACAACAGATAACAAAAATTTTTTTCCAGCATTGGAAGAATGTTATCCCAACTTACCATGAAATTTTGAACATTTCATTAGGTGATTCAAAGCAGGGCATTTGTAAAATTTAAAGAAAATTCCTAATAGAATGGCCACCCACTGAATATACCAAAGTAGTGATGTATGTAATTTTAATTGCACATAATTATTTAGTTTTGATTTGAATGGTTGGACATGTGCAGTTAACAATATCTGGTAGTAGAGAGTTCCATTCATGGACAGCTCTTTTAAGGATGAAATTTTTGTATGAATTTATATGGAAGTGAGTCTATCTTGTTTTATGCTGACTTTCTCCTTTTTTTTCTTTCTTTTAGACAGAGTTCTCTTTTTTTCAAATCAGGAAAGGGATATAAAAATATGAAATATTATGTACTGTTATTGGTTCTAAAAGTAGCCTGCTTTTAGGGATGTAACTGATCAGAACAATGTTTGTTTTTTTTCCCTTTAGGTTGTGTCTGGATGCAGTGCTGTGTTACGGAGATGTGCTCCGATCAGAGTGGAACGTCCTTCCCAAGACACTGCAGGACGTGCTGAAGATGCGGTTGGAACAGTGGGAAATATAAACGACCTCGGCCACCCACTACGGCTGTGGGGGTTTTCCACCTTCCAGAGCAGGTTGTTAGTACGTTCTACCTAACAAACACACAAGGAGAGTTCTTCTGGTTCTCTTAACTGCTTCACAGTTGGGGTAAGAGAACCTAAAGAGGTGGTGGAGAAGCTAACATGTTGATTTCTACCAGTTAACATCTGTAAATGTTGAAGGAAGAAAAAAAAAGATATGTATTGACTTTATTTGTTGACAGTTGGAATCTCTGGTAAAGTAGTCAACACATTTGTGAGTTAACCTATAAAATTCTGATGGAAGAACAACTATGTGACATTGCATGGAGGAAATGATCTTGACTCGCATTGTCACATTTGTACAATTGCTTTTCCTCAAGGAAGCTAAAGCATTTGTTTTAATTTCACATAAATGATTGTTTTGTTATTCACTCGCAAACCAGTGAAAAAGATGTCTCGTATTTTTACTAGTAGCTTCCTTATGCTGTATTGTACCTTTGCCCGGTGTTCATAAAACCATTTAAAAATTATTTTTTTCTGCAGTTAAGAAATATATCCATACATTTTTTAAAACATTTGTTCTCTTAACTTGCCAAGCTGGAAAGAGTTCATTGTCATGCTCATATAAATAGTTAAAATGTCGAAGTGTTTATAATTGTAAGTGTGTGAATGTATATATTTGAATTGTGTGTTTTGTTTGACTCTCAAATGAGGTGTTGAACTTGTGGGAATTTCCTCCCCTCATTTCAGCAGAAAACGCAAAAATTGAAAACAGTGCTTGACAACTGATGCAATGCAGTAAATGTTAAATGGTATATTTATAGTGTGTACATGTTTCATGGTTGATTTTTAGTTGTTGTTTTTGTTTTTGTGTAACTTAAAAATTTCATGATTTTGTTCTTTGTGAATCTTAGAACGTTTTCTGTTTTGATCCCAAATCATGCTATATATAAACTTATCATCACAGTACAGTGTAATTTGCAAAGATGTCATGACTTTGCATTGTATTGCAGAAAAAGGGACGTAGACCAAAGCAGAGAAGTCTTATTTTAGATTTTTGTGAGCTAAGTAAAAGAATGGTGATATATCTGATAAAATTTCTAAAAGGCTGTTTTGCCTCCTATTTGTTTTGTTCCTACTTTAAATTTAGGAAATTGTTTTTATTACTGTACTAAAATACTTCACTATGTATGTTGTGAAGTGTGGCATTGTAAACGATGTGTGATATGTAAAATATGAATTGTGTGTAGATACCAAGCTGACAAAGTTTCAAGCCTGATTTGTTTATAAACTATGAATTATTTGGATTTATTCTGACATCTCCGGATTGACAATAGAGAATTATGTTTAATATATGGAAATGCTAGTAAAGCACTGTTTCTTTCCAGTGTCATTTGGTAAAACATTTGGCTTTCTGGAATCAGTTCTTGTTACAACTTGCTAATCAATACATTCAGTGGGCCAACTTTTTATTTATTACATTCTGATTCTCAATTTTGTTTCCCATATATTCTACCAAGTAAGACATGACTTTATTCAGAACTAGGGATACCTGTCAAAAAAATGAGGGGTGTTGAAATCAAATTTCCAAATTAATAATTAATTATAATGAATAGCAGAAAACAATTTAATATCTTTAATAGCAAATTTTAGTTGTTTCTTTTTTTCATTTCAAACTTTCCTTTATTATCATAATACGTTCTTAAACCATAATCTTCTAGGTGATTGTAAAGTGATTTTAGGGAGACTGACAACAGGGTACAATTTTGGGCTATTGTCAATTGTTGCCTTGTACCGTGAAAGAATCAAATTAAGCTCCTATAGTATTTATTATAGTTGTTTTGCCTATAATTTGTTTCAACGTAGTGTGATCTTTGAATCGATTAGCACATGTTTTGAAAGTTAGGTCCACTATTTTCCTAGAAATTGCATGTAGAGGTGTTCAGCGACTTGTATTTTTATTTAAGTCGTAACCTTTTCTTATTTGTTTCTAAAAAATAATTTTGTACTTTCACACACGTTCTGATCTGGATTTTTGGTTTATTTTACTAATGGATAGTGGATTTACAATTTGGTTCCTACAAAAGCACTTTTACCATGTGTGTCATGCACGTGTTTTCTTTTTCTGACTTTTTGTTCTTTTGTCCAATTTTTCTTTGTCCATTTGCCCCTTTGCTGTCTTTATCCTGTTTGTGCCTTTTGCCCCTTTTGTCTGTTTGTCCGTTTGTCCCAACTTGTCCTTGAACACCACCAATGTACATTGCAACCTCTGTAGATCTTGCATTCTGAAGCATTGCCAGTGATTGTGAATGGTGCCACTTCCTACACAAATGCACAAGTGCAATTGCTGCCCCTGTTGCTCAAACTGGAAACCCAATTGCTTGTTGTGAAAAACTACTGAATTGGACTACCAGTTGTAAAAATAACCCATTTCATAGCGATGTGGTCAGTTTGTAATTTTTCTCCTCTTCCTTCTATCCTCACGTCTTACTTACACACTCTTACACCAATATGCCCTAGACTTCCACACTTGCTAGGAGACTGGTTGGTAGCTTAGAACTTGTCCCCCTGAGGCAGTGCCCTGCTGGTGGGAGATACCTAGTTGCAGAAAAAGGGAAAACCCCGCTAACTGACGGTAGGTTGGTGCTGGATCTCTCTGTCCAGTGGGGAAGACCTCTGCTTCCTCCTGAGAGGGGGTGACATGCACTACATTTACGGTTCTAATGACCTTAGCAGTTGACATGCCCAGAATCGCTAACAATCAATCTATTACTTGCCAACTTTTCTTGAACAATGGATTGAAGAAAAGCGGGTAGAGTGAGAGTATTAGTTAAGTGATCAACCACTAGATTTGATGAAGCAATGCTAGTCTCTGGAGAATCAGTCACGCCGTTGCAACATTCTCAATAATTTGCATTCTAACTTTCTCAGGAGTTCGAGCTATCTCCCGTGATGGATGTTGACCTGCCTTAGTCATTTCTTTCGATTTTTTTGGAGAAAATCATTAACAGAAGTTCTCGTTTTCAAAGGAAAATAGTTTCTATTTCACGCCGGTGAAGATGTGTTTGGAATGTTGTCTTCGATGCTCGCTGCGAGCTTTCACCTTTAACTGTGTATTGTGTCAGAGAGGGGAAGCAAGTTCATCGTTCAAGAAAATTTGCGCAAGTAATCTCTAAACAGAGCAGTCTTCCTGATCAATCTTGACAGGTGCCACCCACTCCCTAGACATCCAGTTTCCATTGTTTTAAAATGGAGCTCATGGTCTTGTAAGCTATAGAGTAAGCAATGTTAAGGAATATTGAGATTAAAGAGCCTAATTGAGAAACAGTACTTTATTAGCCTTGTTAGTTGGAATGTAGAAAACTGTTGTACTCCAACATCTTTTAATGATAAAATACTGATTATAATTATTTCAACTTGCCCTGTTGTTCAAAATTTCATCAAATTTTCTCCCTTCCTGTGTACAGTTAATTCAATCTGAAACTATTTATTGATGGCAAGATACATATGTCAGTTCACTGACAAATTACATAAATCTCCGGGGAAAAAAAAAAGAAAGAAAAACAAAAGGGTTTTGTGAACCTGTTTCTTGTGTGTCCTAAAACTGGAAAGTGCTCATTGGTGTTGAAATGTGATAGATTGTGTTGGTCTGAAGTAGAATAGAAAGATGGAATGAAGAAAAGTAGAAAATACAGTGTGGTTAGCATTGTAAAGCACATGTGTAAGTATATATTCTTTAACTATTTTTTTAAAAATGTGTTGCGTCGTCGTTAACGCAACGCGTCTCTTGAACCCTTGTTGGGCTTTGAGCGCTTACATGGAGTAATCCTCTTGACTATCTTTGGTCAAGTCTCGTCACATTGCAGTCAGTCAGTGCCTTTTATCCCTTCAGCCATGGGCTGGACGCCATTAGATCCCAGGATTCCTAGCAGGTCACCCATCCAAGATCCCACGGGTCTTGAATTCGCTTAATCTCTGTGACTTCACAGAGTGAAGTAAACGAATTCGGCTAGTGACGCTGGCATTATTTTTTGACTAGACTGTACAATTGGACTTAGGGTTGCACATACAGTTGCTTATCATGTTGAATTACATAATAAAATGTTTGGGTATCTCAGACCTTACTGTAAGAAGTAATCAGTAAAATTAGTGGTTACTGCAGAAACATTGTGGAAATTCATAACGGAGAAGGAAAATGAAGTTATCTGTAAAAATTATTAATAATAATAAAAATAATTAGTTTTCTCCTTTTCCAATAAGTCATATTTCCTGTAGAAAATGCTAGGTGGCAATACTTATTATTGAAAAGAAACGGAGGGAATAAGACTTTATTGTTCATAAGTAATATACCATGGTCACTTACAATCGTAAATCGTTCAGTGTCAACTCTTGTTCTTTAATTATTTATTAATTTTTTCTGATTCAGAGAAGAGAAATGTGGAAAATGAATTTATGACATTTTTCTTGTCAAAATCTCTGCAATAAAAAAAAAGAAAAAGCAAGTAATTGCAAATTAAAGTGAGGCTAAAGCAGGAGGAATTTAAAGTATTGCAGAACTATTTCATTTTTTTGAATACCAGCTGGTAGTAGGAGAGTTGCTGTGGCATCTCCTTGAGGTAGGCAAGTTTCACACATAATAAAATGTAAATGCTCTTACGGTTTTTATAAGCGTTTTTCATCTGGAATTATTTAATGAACATTTTATTATTGTGGTAGTTCAAACATTTCATAATATAAGTGTGTGAATCCTTTGTGTTTCTTCTCTTCTTGCAGCAACTTTCATTTTTTCTGGATAGGCACTTCAAAGTTGTGTTTCTTATATTCTGAGAAAAGACCCTGTAATGAGCATAGAACAGTGGTACATTTCGTCCATTCTCTACATACGCATATTGTACTTAAGTCAGCAGATTATGATACTGCCTGTCTGCAAGTGCCAAAGTCTTCGATTTCCAGTCACGTTAGCAGCATAGCATGTGTGTTTCATTATCAAGGTAACAAACTGAGATATTTATTTCTTAATTTTATTTTTAAATTATTATACTGTGGGTTACTTGATTTTTGTTATATTTAAAACTATTTTTACATTCATATTTGGCCAATGCAGTGGATTGACAGCTATGCACACAGTGTTCTTTACATATGAGGTAAACGATAAATTTTGAACAATTGGCAACCTACTTCTAAATTGAGTTCAGTTGTATATCATTCTGGTGAGAAAAACACCTCCCTCCTCCCATACTTGTGTAATGGGCAGGTCCAGAAAGTATTTCATGAGGGGAGGGGAATTACAGTTTAAACCCTCCTGTACTAAAAAAAACTACTTTTTGAGATCATGTCGATCTGGGCTTCGTGGGGATATCCCTTGGGAATGTGATGCAATCAGTACGTGACTTAAGTTTTGAATGTAATTAGAAAACCAAACCAAAATGTTGATCCAGGGTAAACAAGGGTCCTTTTACCCTCTTCAAACCCTTGGATTTGCCCTTGGAAATGTTCCATAATCCCTGATATGCCTATCCTGAACATTTGTTCATGAGCTGCCACTGGATGGCTATTGGGTAAACATCTGAGTGAGAAAAAGTTATTTCATTTTCTATTTCCCCCCCCCCCCTTCCTTCCCTTAATTCTATTCTAGTATATGTTAATTTGTTCATCTTAGGGTTCCCTCATAGATAGTGATCCGTTGTTATGGAGTTTATTGTGCTGGGAGATATGATAAGCCTTAACATAACACACAAAATCTGGTACTTAAAATCCATTGTGATTGTTTTGTTAAATTAATTAAAATTTGAGTAACTGGTGGTTTTGACAGATGCCTATTGTATATGTAGTTCCACCCAAACCCTTTTCCCGTGTTGACTGAATTTTGGTGTTTGTGGAATGAGTTTGTGAAAGATTGGATTTTTCTATCCCACTTCATGCCAATACGATTAAGAGCAGCTGGTCTGTTCCTGTAAGTTAGTTAATGATAGTATGATGACAAAAGCCTGCAACCAAGAAGGTATATGTGAAAGTTTTGAAGTAGATGTGTACTTTTTGCTAGACGTCAGTGATACCCCAAATTTGCAAATATGAAAACAGTGTTCAATTAAATGTATAGAAATTAAATCTGCAACTGTTAAATTGGCTTTCACCGTAATGATATTTGTATAAAACTTGATTTTCAGATGTACGTTTTGTATCTTTGAAACTATGCCAATACCTTTTGTTTAATTTTTTATCACTTAAATTTGTGATGTAAATATTTGTTATTGTGTTCAAAATGACAACCAATTTATGTAATATTGTGAAATTTCACAATATTCACTTCTGTACAAAGATGGTTATTGCTTTACATCTTCATTCAATAAAACTGATAATTTTTGTATCCAATCCTGTTTTATATTAGTGATGAATTAGGTAATAAGAATGTCTTTCTATTTAAATACCTCCATTACAATAATTATAATGAGTGCAATTTTTATTTTAAGGATAGTATTCAAATTATTGAATTTTTGGTAAATATAAACATAATTAACTTCATGATAATCATTAAGTAATTTCATCAGAGGAATATTGAAGAAATTTCTGGTCTCACCTATTGTAATACAGTGGAGCGATGATAATTGAATTTGTTTGGGATCTCAAAATTTTCTATTAGCTTTTTACACACTTGTGTTAATTTACCTAAGTCTAATATGAAAGAAAAAACAACAACGTATAAATGCAAATTTTTCTTGTTGCCAGAAAAGGTCATTGTTTACTTTTAATTGGCAGTAAAAATTATGAAATGGATAGACCGGGCACAATTTTTAAGCTGTCCTTTGTTTGTTACTCACCAATATTTAATAGGATGTATGTTAATACATAATTTTGCATTTAATCCATTATAATCATTTAAATGTTGAAACAAATTTCTAGTAAAGTAGTTGTGACAATTAATGCGACCCTAATCCCAACATAACACTCTGTACTGCAACATTGGCTTAACTCAAAAGAGTTTGTTTAAGGACATGTGTTTGATATTTTAAGTTCATGTGTGAAATGCAGTGGTACAGTATCGATACAACTACTTTCTCACTTTAAATTTGCAAGAAATGATTATGCTGTTTTATCAGTGGAAAGAGCTTTAAAATCCTATTTTTGGTGTGAAGTGTCTTCCATTTGGATCCATAGGGAGTGGGAGGAGGGGTAGCTAGCTAAAACAGCTATTCAACTTTACATGAAATAAAAATACGTGACAATAATAACACTTTTTCTTCTTTACAATTATTCATTTCTGCCAAATTTTGAGACTCTCCTTTTGATATTCAAATAAGTGATATGCTATAATATTGAATAACCTGAACTCTTTCCTTTTTTCTTTTCCCATTCAGATTCAAGAAGTGAAGGTTCCACTGTACTTTGAAGTTAATTTCCTGTTTTGATTATTGTACATCTGAAAAGTCTCTTCCTGCGAGTTACCTTATATAAAATATTCTTAAGTCACTATGAAAGGTAAAAATACAGGGAGATGTGGACTAAATGGATGGTATACTTCTCAGTGCTTTGGGTAAACATGTGCCGAAAAATATTTTTCTGAACTTTTTTTAAAATTTAGGTTTGATCAAGTTAAAATATTGATGAGTAGTCTTAATATCATTTTCATTAATTTTATTATTTGAAGCTCTATATTAAGTACATTATAATTGCTTTTTTAGTTGTGTAACGCAAACCAAGAAGCATTCATTCGGTCCATTGTGATTTCATTTAATTGTGACCTTCAAAAAGAAAACAAATATCATGACCTGCCTGGCAAAGTAAATATTGAATTTTTGCTTAGGTATGATGTTTGAGTATTTCTAAGAAATGTGACCTTAAGATAAATTGCAAATTTGATACTGAGAAAGAGTAATTTTAATTTGGGGGATGAAATGTTTAAACAAAGATTCTTGGAACACCTTGAAAATGGAAAAATAATATTTTTTAAAAACTCATTTGGGATTTAAAAAGTAAAAACTTGTTTATACAAATGTTTAGAAGTGTACTATTCATGTGAATACCCTTGTATGTTGCATATCTTGTAATGAGTAGATGCAAGATCTACTTTTAGATCTTGTGATACTCAATCATTTTAATACTGTGATAACAGATATAACAGTTATTATATGTTTTTATTATTTTATGTACACTATGTATTGTTCTGTGTTAGATAATTTGCTGTGCTTTCATGTGAGTTGTAGTTTAATTTTGCCTTTCCAAAAAATTGTGCCTCCTTTTACCTTTACAAACATCCACAAATACTGCCCTGGGAAACAAAATCTATGTTGAATTGTAAGAAAATGTACTGCCAAAATGTGCTATTGCAACTTCAACAATGTTGAAGTGAATATCATTTATTGGGACCTGGCTGTATTACACCACATTAGTGGTTACAATTGTCATTGATGTGGCTATTCTTGAATAAACAATTTATTGAAAAATGGCATCCCTCATTTTTGAAGACCTACCTGTATAATCTATACCTATATAAATTTTGTACTATGAGAATATCATCCTTCTTGTTGACAATGGAGTAAAATATTTGAATAAATGAAAAGTGTAATTAATATGAAGTACATATTGCAAATAACATGTGCTTTCTCTTTACCGAAGCAACATGATAACAACATTGAGCCATATGGTAAAATTCAAATGTACACTGAACAAGGAAGATGAATCATGTCCACCCTCCTACTCCCTCCACCTCTTTTTTTATTTCAATTTTTCTCAGCAGCTGTGAAGCCTTTCAAGGTGGTGTACAATTTATACAGAATAAATTATTTAACACTAAGGTTATCTGGAAACATGTTGATATCTTTTTCTCACTCCACAACAAAATTAAATTTTTATAAAATTTATATTTATTGAGAACTTAAAAAATGAAAATAAACACAAGACTAATTCATTTTAATAATAGTAAATGAAATAAACTCCTTTTGTAGTGGCTTGATTCCTATCTTCTGGAAGTATGCAGCAGATAGAGTAAGCAATAACTCTTGAAGATGGAAAATATCAGAGAAGGGAATAAAAATAGAATCATTAAGGGAGGACAACATTTGAATAATCCTTATTTTTGTAATATTTATAACAGAGGAAAACACAGTTCAGATATTTGTCAGTTTGCAATGCCTACTACTTTCAGTATGCATTGTAAGTTTATGAACTCTTTCGTACCGATTTTGGATCTTAATATTTGGTTTTTGGGGTGTAAATTCTACGACCTTTATTTTGGATGTGTAAAATGTGAGTTATCATTACATTAACCTGACTTCTACAATATTACTTTCACGTCACTTTTCTAGAGGATATGATGGAAAAGAAATTACTGATTGTCTGGGATTATACATAATAACATTTAGGAAATTAAACAAATTACATCCATGAAAGGTGCTTAAAAGTGATTTTGACTAGAAATAAGTAAAATTATAATATTTTTTCTTTGAAGGACTTCTTTTTAAGGCTCTGGTACTAGAAAACTGCTTTTAAATGTTGATGTGTCTGTCCATCCCTCTATCCACCTGTGAATAATTCTGAACTTTACATACTGAACATACTTTTTTGGAAAAATAATTAGTACACTAGCAATACGCTTCAACCTATAGTCACAAACAATTTGAATATAATATTATTTCCCTCATTTCCCTCCCTGTGGATTCGTGCCTGATTATATAATACTTTTCAAAAATACTTGATATTACATAGGTTCTTTTGTCCCCTTGTCAGAAAATAATAGTTCTTCATGTAATTTTTGTATGTGCAATGCCTCACCTGATTAATTACATCATACTTGTTATTTCAAATGCTTTACAATTCTCACTGCATCAAAATCAGCTTCTTGGGAGTCTAGTACTTTTATATAAATTTACCCTACCTATTTATTGAGACAGAATAGGACACCAATTCATTCATAAATTTAGTATTCTTGTGTTTTTGAAGTTGCAACCATAATAATTGTTATTATTTTTTGGTAGATGTTCTAGAAATATTTGCCACTAACTAGTTGCATTTTGAATTTCCGCGTCTAATACCAGGATGTGTAACTAATAAAATGTAATATGAATTGAAATTTTAAGTTTTATATCATAATACAATGTACATATCTTTTAAACTACAATTTCATGTATTTAAATTTCATTTAAACGAAAACATCTTGTTGTTAATAAATTATGTTGGTTATTTCTTTCTAATATTTAAAGGTCGATGTTGGTACCATGCACCATTTGCAAAATGGCGGCATCTACTGACTACGTATTTTAACATAATATTAATCTCATAAGTGTTCGTGGTAATTTTGTTAATTAAATTAGTTTACTGCGTTGTAATGTTTATAAAAGCATAGTGTGAAGAAATATGACCGTAGATAATTTAATGTCATGAACGATATGTTCAGTTTTGACACTTAAAATGTTATTTGTATGTGGGCTGTTTAATAGAAAAATTCGATTTATCCTTCAAAGAAAAATTTGTCTTACTCGGTGAGAGTTTTCGAATATAAATTAGGACTTGAGGGTTGTGGAAAGAGTGCTTTAGATGATTGTTAATTATGATCTTGCAGGTGCCATTATGAGACACATTATGAAGTTCTTCAGCTTCCAAGGAACTGCACGCAAAAAGAAATAAAAACAGCCTTTATCAAATTATCGAAGCAGGTAAATGCCTACCGTTGATATGCTTACTATTGTGTTTTATGTTAAATCAATAAAAAATATTTAGTCCTAAAAAGTAAATATTTGGGATGATGGTTGAAACAGTTTACCATTAAAATTATTAATAGAAAAATGTCTTCAATTGGTAAAATAAAAAACAAGTATATTAGGCAATTAACACGGTAAATAATTACCATAAGTTCTAACTGCTTGACATCACAGTTTTGTAATTTACAAAATAACGTTATTGTAGAATAAAAAATGTCAGCACAAAAAGCAATGCCTTTAATGTTTTAATTTTCAATAAAAAAGTGTTATCTTCTCATTAAAAACAATTTTTTTGAAATAAATATTTTGATAAAAACGTATAGTAATGGCAATTATTTTAAACTAGGCAAAGTTTCTTTAGAGATAAGAAATTGTATAAATGTTATTACTTAACATATGATTGTAATAACTCTTGGATTACAGTTAAACAAAATATTTGTTGAACCAAAAATTTAAATTTGCCCTGTGAAGTCCTTATAGAAGTTTTTGCATTCTTTTGAAGTATACTGGAGATGTTTTGTCAAGTCCCTTAATTTTAGAATTTTGATGGGTTCCAATTCATTGTCAGCCTTGTAGTTGAGAATTTGAGCACTTTATTTTCAAACTTGCTTACTTTAAAGGGCATTTTACAAATTCCAAAATTGTCAATCAATTCAGCACATTCAACTTTCTATGGAAATTTTTGACAACGGTACAAATTCATCAATTTCTCCACAAAGAAAGTTACTTCTGGTTTTTATTTAAGGTGCTCCCAGCACTATCTTCTGACAAACAAAATCACTTGTATAATTTGGGATACCATTTCTTGAACACCACAAATTCCAATGTTGTATCTGTATGTGTTGTTTGTTGAAGTCATGATAACATCAGTATATCCATGCAGTGAATATATTCCTTTTCTTATATTAATCATTTGATAATAGTAAATGTCTTGTCACATAAAAAAATTAATGATGCTGAGAGAATAGACCTGTATACATCTTAAATGCTCAGACTTATGATTAGGGGGCAGATTTTAATAAAGTGTAATTCTTTTCATTTCATTCTTGAACAATTTTTTTAGGATAAATGTTAATTTTATGTTATGCTAGAAGAAAATGGCCCATTTTTATACAACATTTTTTTTACTTTTTTCATCGTTTTCAACCAACAAGTTTTTTTACCTTTTTTCATAATTTTTAAAGTATTTTTCACAGACTTCATTGATTTAATTATCATTTTAATGGTATTTGCATAAAATAATATTTACGAGATGCAACAAATGTTCTCAACAGAATTCCTGAGTACCCTATTCGATTCTTTCACTCAGAAATTGTAATATCAGCCATTGTATGTAATCTAAGGTTGCTGTGGCACCTAAAAGCTCCATTGTTCAGCTGATTTTGCAACAACTAATGACTGATTTTCTGGTCAAAACCAAAAGTTTGCAAACTGAGTTTACTTGAATAAAAGGAGGAAGCTTTGATTACATCAGCAACATATCCAACATCTTGAGTTGTACATCTAAACTCATATTGATAAAAAAATTGTCATTGTTCTTTGTGTTTAGAGCATTTTCCTAACATTTTAAGATCATTTTATTGAACATTTTTGTGATATTTTAGGTCATCAAAATCCACCCCCTACTTATGAGGCAGTCCCCTTGATAATTAACGAATTCAAAGGTTTTTTGCCCTCATGGGCCAACTTCAACAACGCTGAGCCCTTCACCCCTCCTGGCATTACAGACACTCCCTGCCATATGTGTCTATGGTCTCGGAAAGGGATGTCCCCACCATTTCTCCCCTCTCTCTAGTTCACCAGGCTTAGACCCTACCTAACGATAACCCTTCTGAGGGAGCCATGACCCTTCTCAGCTAGCTCCTCTGTTATCGCTTAAACACCACTGTGATCTTAGGCTCCTTAGTAAAATGATGGTTAATGACAGTGTAGGGTAGGGAATGATTGAGGGAGCATACCACTGCAATACATCCAGTGGCAAAGAAAATGGAAGTACCTTGACAAAACCTGCCGCGAACCTGCTTTGACCAGCACACATTCCACTTGGAACCACCTGGGATTGAACCCTGGTCCCAGTGGTGGAAGATAACCATATCACCACAGGCCACCCACCTTGATAATTTTGTTATTCTTATTTTGATCAGAGCATTTAAATACAGAAGGCAGTGACATTAGTTGCTAGTGTTGAGTGTGTCACAAATCTAGATGGACAATTGTTGACATCATTTGTGAGTTGCATAATTCACTTGAGTCCTGGACTGATGGTGTCAATGCAATTGTTGATTTATGGACCTTATAAGTTTGCTCAATATATTTACAAAGACTCATGTAATTAATGTATAAGAACGTGCTTAGACAAGGAATGTGAAACTACATGTAACTCAATTTACACAAAAACTGGTCTAATGTTGTGAATAAACCACCATTCATTTACTAGTATCATTCCTGACAAGAATGCGAATGAGCAGTACCCACAACAACATTTGTGAAGCTTAATGAAAGCTTCAACAATTCTGAGTGTCCAGAAACAAGAAGAGAGTATGACCTCAGGTTTGGTCCCAGTACGTCAGAGTGAGAAAGGTCTCGGCAAATTTCATTACGATTATTCGTATTGAAGAACCTATCAAGTTGAGTTACATACATCTGAAAATTTTATTGAAAATTATCATTCGCTTAAAGTGACATTTATTTTCACTGAAAAGTAGAGCTATACTCTGTAAATTGTTAGAAGTAGACATTCTTCTAATTATTGCAATAGAAATCAGTGAATCAATGAGTTGAAGTTCTTCAGTAGGTAATAATTTATCTGAGGTTTTTGTATGTTGGCATAAATTCATGAAAGAATATGACGACTCAGGTTATCAACAGCATTCATGGAGTAAGTTATTATTTTATATTTTGTACTTTTAGTTTGTTTTTTCAACAGAATAAACTAAGTTTTTTTCATGATTGTACAAATAGTTGTCAGAATCACCAATTTCTGGAAAACATGTAAAGCCAACTGCAGATAATTTATTTGGAAAACTTGGGGACATGACCACTTAGGCATGACCTCAAAATATATGGTTTTGACATCAGACTGTACTCAAGCGAAATGAAAAAGAACTCTTAAAAATTCATCAAGACTTATATAGTTATTATTAAATTGATATTTCCTAGTATAGTGCCCATTAAACTGTCATATTTAGTTATCAATGTAATTAACGTATTGTAGATTATGGGTACTATGGATTTAATTTCACTGTTATGGAATAAGAGTTGACATATAAATACTAGTTAAATTTTTTATGTTGACTCGTATTTTAAACTTAAAATTATTATTTTTATATTTATGAATGTACGTGTTTTATGGCCTTCTAAATTTAATGCAAAAATTATGGAGAAAATGTAGGAAATACAAAGAAAACAGTTTTGAATGACCATTGGACTCACTAATCTAATGAAAATGTTTCTGATATAAATAGATCTCTTATGTATGTGAAATTATCACTTTGTTCATGTGTTTGATTTTTTAGCAGACCGTTTCGTGACAAATCCTTCTGGGAAAATCGTGATCGATCTAATGATGCTGCGAATATGCAGAAGCCCTACTATGGCATCAAAGGCATAAAGAGAGTCTCAAACTCATGGATTTTGACTTGCTTAATGTTGTTCATGCTTTTTGGTGTTGGCTTGCAAGCATATCTCATCAAGTAAGTTATTTCTGTGTAATGGTATATTTTGTCATGTTAGAGTGAAACCAAAAACAGTAATTGGACAAATGTGGATGTATTTAGAAATTTGATTTGTTAGATATTTGTACTTATTAAGAACTTACATTGTTAAGCTTATGAATGCACACAACATTACATAATACAATGTTTCTCCCAACTTAAAATTAATCAAATTGTGGTGATCTAAAATATTTAGTGTTGATATTTGGAAACCATCCTGTCATACCAGTTATTACCATCGATTGCTGACTCTTACAGAATTCTTAATGTTTAAAAATTCCATCTGGTTGGACTCTGTTGAATGTAGTATTTTTATTCAAGGTAAGAGGGAGAAGCATGGCATTGATGCTGTAATATTGAAATCTGCTCTGAAAATATAACATGATGATAATGTGAAGTCATAGACTTCCGCAGCCAGAGTCCTGTGCTTGATCTGGGCTGTCCGGATGACGCCGCATCGAAGGCTGTGTTGCTGTGGGCAACCCGGACAGCCCAGATCACGCATGATAATGTTGCAACAATGGTACACAACATTTCGTACTGTCAGTCTTAAATTACAAGGTACTTATTTAGGCTTCTTGATAAATGCAAGGATTTAGAGGGATGAATAAAATATGAGGGGCCTCCCAAAACATAAATAAATGCTCTTTCCATTTGTAAAGATAACATATTATCTTACAAACAAAAAATAATAACAACAACATTATGAAAGCGACAAATATTATGAAGCATATGTGGGAATTATTTGTTCAAGATATTCAAACGTGTTTAAATTGCTGCATTTATGTTGAAAAATTCTGAGAAGGTGCTTTACAAGATGGATTCCTGATTGCAGCAAGTCGATGGTGTTCTCTCGAAAGGCTCTGGAGGATGAAACCAGTCGCAATGCAGAAATCCTTCGGCGGTTGCGTCAGAGGGCGCAGGAAAGCGACGGGGATAGTGCGGTATTGGAACGGTTGCAGAGGAATTCTGATGCCTGGAGAGCACTCAGGGGCAAAACAACTGAAGTGAAAACTGAGTAGCCTCACTACGTCTATTTTATGGTAGAGTGAGAATTTGTTTCTTATCATGCTATGGTAAGTATTAATCATGGTTGTATTAAATGGTCCAAATAAATGTGCACTCTGTTATTAATGAACTGTATATGAGCTTTACAATTCCTAGTGCAGGATGCTGAGCAAACTCAATGTCAATACATCACTGATATCCGAATATTTTTCAAGTTGTTTTGCAGAGTGATTTTGAAAATGAACAAGGAGTGTTAAGAGATCAGAGTCATTTTTAAATATATCTAGAATTCTCAACAGGTTCTAAAAATAATTTAAAACAATGAAATAAGAAAATAAATTAAGAATAAAATTCACCTACCAACTTCACACTATGTACCACGAAATGGTACCAAGAGTATTAATTGTATTAATGCTCGTAATAATTTTAGTAGAAAGTGAGGGATTAAGACATTTCTTTATATAGTCCCTGAAAAAGTTATGGCATTTTGGTAGGTAGGATATGTTGACACCTTGCTAATGTAATTGCAATTTGGGAACATTAATGTTCAAAAAAGATAGGTCTTGTTTAATAAAGACTTGCAAGAAATTAACTTTTATCAGGAAAAGTTAACACAAATCGGATTCCTTTTATCTCCATTAAGAAGATGTGGAAATTCCTTTTTCTCAATAACTGATTTATGTAAGAATGATTTGTTGTTAAGACTCTTCTATAATATTAAAATTTAAAACAACCATTATCTGAAACAACAGTGGTAAAGTTTTGAGTGAACGGTTTGGAATAAATTTGAGCGGACTTTTTTAGTAACTAACCTTTAGTTGTGTTTAAACACATTTTCACTAAGTGATCAACTTGCTGATGTGATCAGAGGTGTTTTGCTATGCTAAATTTGTTTTGTGCACGTTTGAGTAAAACTGGAAAATTTGTGAATAATGATTTTATCAATTGTTCCATTTAAAACAAAAACAAAATTATTGTGATTGAAGAATGTAATGAATGACTAGAGATTCAATGGTAATAAATATTTCATATTTGTATTTCATAAGTACTCAATTAAAAGGCAATAGAAAAGGTTGTGATTAAAATAACGTTTTTTCCTTCTAGGCTTGTAACGTGGAATGGTGAATATTGCATTGTTGGAACAGGACAGTTGTGCTTTCATGACAAGTGGACTTTTGATATAAAAGCAATTGTTTTTTGCCTGTTTTCTGGAAGCATCCAAAATGTATAAAACTTGATGTAAATAGCAACTGAAAATTGTAAATAGAGAGTTTTATTTTTGGGAATATTTTTATTTTTTCCCCCTAAAGTAATTTTTGAAACTGTCCATGAACAGAGTTCAAACCTTTTTATTCTCTGAAAACTTTGGTGTACTTGACAAAGGAGAGTGGAGAAACAATTGTTGGTAGTTATCCACAAGATGCATAAGTGTTCGTGTAGTTGCTCTGGTGTTCATTCATTCAAGTAGCAGGAGTCATAGAAAATTGTTATTTATTGTTAAATAGTTATGTTGGTGTTCTGCATACACCATTGACACAAGATATTTCATATATCCTCTTAGAAATTAGCATTGCTTTGTTGCTTCATTTATCTTATCTCAGGAGTTTCTTGTAACATGGAGATTGTTTCACAAGTCATTAATCAGTTCCAATTAATTATGAGCAATAAATGTGGTGTCACTGATTAATGGCTTATCTCATGACTACAGGTCCATCACCAACATTTGGTCATATTTAAATGTAAATTTTCCACCAAGAATTATTTTTAGCACTCAGCAGTACATAATGTTTCTAATAAATAGTTGTAATTTCAAAATGGCCACAATGAGTATGATAAAAGAGCCAACATTATTATCAGAGGTCTTAGTGCTGAGTGTTCACTAGCAGAGGTAATTTGATTCTCTTTAAATATCTAAGAGCCACAGTTTGTTGTGTCAAGATTTTTGACTTCAGAACTGTCAAACAGGGATTCAAGTGTACCTGTGAGGAAGCATTGCTCAACAAACTCATGAGGATCCCTGCAGTTTGCCAAAAGGGCGTGCTGATCCAAGTCTATTAAACTGGATGGAAACAGTGGTGTTTGAAACTCCATAAGTTTTTCAGCAACGTGGTGCGTTGGTCCTAAGAAGCCATTTGGCGCAAAACTGGACATGCGTTGATGTTAAAAGGGTCTTCAACAACTCTAGAAGTCCAAATGTCTGCCGTTGCGGCAGTCACTTAAGAATGAGGTTGAAGGCTGTTCAAGCTAAGAGGAGGTACTTCATGTACCACAGGAAATAATTTTTGTAATTATTTGCTAATAACATTTGTTTTTAAAGAATATGTTCATTTTGTTTGGATTTCGGTTACACACACATTTTGATGTTTATAATCATCTCTCTCTCTTTTGGGTAGAGGTCTCTTCTTACTTCTAATCCTCTCATGCAGATCTTCATATCTTTCTTTTACTCTCTCTTTCTCTCTTGTATCTTCATATCTTTCTAGTCTCCTCTCTCACATCTTGTTTTCTTTCTAATCTCCTCTCTCACAACTTTTTTGTTAATTAAGGTCGCAACAACATCTAGGTTATTAGCAACCACTATTGGAATTAACGTTATGAAGACATGATATGGTGATGATAGGGGGTGAACGAATGAACACAAATACAACCATGCCGGAGGCAGGACTTGAACCCGCGATCCTTCTGTTCGTGATTGCCACAACACTACTGCCTTAATGATCTCGGCCATCCAGACGACTCTTACAAATTTGGATTTTTCTAATCCTCTCTTACTTTCATCTCTTTTCACTTTGATTCTTGATTCTCTTACTCATAGTCTTATCTTTCTAATGCTCACTCACAGTTTCATCTCTTTTCAATCTCCCTCTTCTCTCTGAAATTGTCTCTCTAAAGGCTGGTGTCTCCTGACTCTTGCTTGATTCCCTTTTCTCACAACGATCCAGCCTGTGGGCTCTTATCATCAAGTACATTTGTTTGTTGTGATAAACGTAGTCTGCAGGGCCACTGATGCTCAGGAACAAGCATAAGTTGTCATCAAACTAGATCCATGGTAGCTGAACACCCCTACACCCACTCTACCCATATTGTGCTTTCTTCGTAGCAACCAGTTCCAGTAATACCGGAGGATAGAGAAGGACTGGTAAGTAGCATTGACCAAGTTCAACGTACACATGCTTGTAACACATGTTCCTATGCCACCCAAAAGGTCCAATAACAAAAGAATAATATGGCAAGGATGGTGCATGGTGAGTGTGACTTCGCATTATATCACATCAGAGAAAAACTGTCATCACCATGCTTACACAGGTTTTGAATCCATGACCTATTGAACCATGCTTACTACAGCACACATGTCTTAGTTACCTCAGTTATACTGTATAACTCATTGTATTTCTCAGTGAAATCCAAACAGACCACAACCACAATTTGTTTGGATTACTATTGCGTATATAAATAGCAATCAGAAAAAATAGTACCCTGATCATAATTTTTTTTCTCATTAAATATATCAGTTTTCTTTGGAGGTATGATCAGAATTTAGATAATCATGATTGCTCAGTTATATTTATTCTCTGTTGTAATTCTATAATTCATTATTGTCATCATTATTACTATTGCAACTTGAAGAGGATATATTCCTCTGCTTACTGAAGAATAATAGAAGTGAAGTTGTATGTGATTTGGCATTCATGATTTATTGTTGATCTGGCATTATGATTTATGTTATTCTGGTTAAGAATGCAATATTTTTCTTTTTTAAAAGTCTTCATCTTTAGAAAATCATTTTTCTTGGGGTTTATTTTGTTAGAGATCAGCCTATTGTATACTATGCAATGGCAGCAAACAAGTTGCAGATTTACTTCTACGCAAATATCAAGTACTATGCAAAATACAGATTTAAAATATTATTCCTTATTTATTTCACTTTCTTTCCTTCCTTCCTTCTTTCAGGGATAAAATGAATTTTTGAATCTTTTGGAAAGAAAATATTTATGGATGTTGAAGTAGGTTCTTCAAGATATTAAATCTTGAAACAATACAAAAAAAACAAATTGTCAGTTAATCTTAGAATCAAGAGAGATATGTCAAACCTGTATTGCCAATGATTCAATGAGGGAGATATGGGTGAAAGAAAAAATTGAGGATCAAGGATTAATTAGAAAGTTGTAACATATCAGTCACCTTTATTTTTGTAATTCATGGACAAAAAACATACATGTGTTTGTGAAATATTCAGAATAAATTTTGTTTATAGGTGTATAACCACATTACATGTTTTAAAATAACACCTGAGAAACCAGTTAATTAATTCAGAAAAAGAGGTTGTATCGAAATATTGTAGGAGGTAATTAACACAAAGTCCAAGGAGAATGTTGGAATTGTGTAATTCATTTCTAAATTCATTGTCATACCATAATTTCTTCCAACGTTTCATTTTTTCTGTACAAATTTTAGTGAATTTTGTGACAAAGGAGAAATTTATTGCAGATAGAGTTTTTAATATTAAGTCAAACAATTTGTTTTATAATTATTTATCTTTTATTACTTACTTGCATCATTGAATATGTACTACTTTAAGAATAGTTTCAAAAGATTTTCTGTAAATAAGGGCCTTTTAATTGAAGAAATTATAATCTGACATTGATGAAGGTAGATTTTATTTGAGAAATAACACTGGAATGCTTCTCTACATATATAGAAAGAAATTGTGCGTATTTCTCTGAACTATGATTTGGTGACTCATTCTGAGGCCTTGATAAGAGGTCCTGATTTATTAAACATCACATCTTTACACCACCAACACTAACAAACATTTCAAGTCAAGTCTTTCAGGAAATATATGTGGGATCCACCCCACAGTATAAAATAAATTGAAAAGTATGAAATTTTTCAAATTAATTTAAAATGTGTGTACATTTTATGTTTATAAATTATATGAACTTCGTAGTAAATTATTTTCAATTATGTCTAGAAACATTCATAAAGAAATAGGTGGATTGAAAAATTTCATATTTTTCAAATGTAAAATTGTACTTTGAATTGTACATGTCTTTTAACATTTAAAGATATAATGGCTTACTTTGTTGTGTACAGCACATACATGTTTTGCACATACTTATTGATTATTCCTAATCACTTTGGGGACATTAAGCTAGATAACCATTCAATGCACAAGTTTGGAGGTATTGTTTTTTAATTCGATGTTCCTAAGTAATGCATCTTGGGGTGGAAATATCTAAGTTCTATAATGTTGAAACCTTGAAATGAACAATTCTGTCATTTCTTTCTCTTTTAATTTTCATATTATTGTTTCTTATGCATCTTATGTTTGGACCCAACCATTCATGGAGTCATGAAACACTTATCTGCATTTAAAAACAGGCAAGGGAACAAAATAAAAAACATGAACAAAATATTTTGTTTTTACCATATGTATGCAGTTTGTTGATGGTCAGCATTCTGAGAACAAATTTTGTATTAGATGTAACAAATGTGTTTGAAAATAATTCAGTAATATTATGACCTTGCTTTAATTAATTTTTAAACATTAGATTCCTAATCAGGCCATTGTTAAAATCCCATAATGGAATGACTGGGTTTGTCCCCAACCAGTATTATTAGGTGTCAATGCATAAGCTGCATTTGCTGTTAAGTTTAAGTTTCATAGTGCTTTATGAGATCGTATTAGTTTTGGCAGACAGTAAAGATAACTTGCAACAAAGTCTTCAGTAACGTGCTACCATTCCCAACAACTATACAGTTTGTGCTGTAATTGGCTACCAATGCCACTTATATATAGTGTAATAGAATACATTGAACTACATCATTATAACATGGTTAGCATAATATCCAACAAACACCTTAACAATAAACAAGAGCTGCTCAGTTTTTAAACACAACCAAATCACGAAGTGTTTTATTAAACACTATATCACAGATCAAATCTAATGGCCGGAATAATGTTTGAACTCCATTCAATAATTGTTGATTTTTTATTCGTGTTTTGACTAGCTGTACTTTCTCTCAAGTTGATTTCATTTGTGATATGGTGTTTCCCGACTTAAATATTCATGAAGACACAAGTTACTGCAAATGAATGTGGAACCTTCAAAGTCAAAGATGGATATTGAGGAAATAAAATTTTATAATAAAAAATTTTGTCAAATTTTTAAAATCAACATATGGTTGATTTCATGCTTAATAATGAAAAGGTGTTAGATACTATTTTTGCAATAACCTGTCTATGAAAAGTAAGTTTTCACCTCCTGGTAAACATAAAGATTCAGATAATTCAAATACAGTTTTTCAGATAATTCATAAACAATGTTTTGTTATAGATCTCTGAGTAATTTGCGGGGACTGAATGCTGTTGTCTTCTTTGAGTTTCATTTGAATTCTTGCAAATGTAACTTCATCATAACAGATGGAAATACTACTGGTAAAGTCTAAAATTTTTCAAAATGATTCTGTTTTGAAGTTATTGCTAGAAATATTTTGTTTTAACTCCTATAATGTGTCACTCTGTTTTAGAATCATTTTTTCCCCAAATAGTTCATAATTCAATACACAAGAATTAACATTTTTTAAGATTGTTCCTGGGTATTACTAATTTTAATGTTAAGTTCAATTTTCAATTAAGGGCTTATAATTTTCAATTCTAACTGCTTAACACAATTGCGATCAGAGGAGCTAGTTTAATTTAACAGAAGAGAAATTTGATTAAAAAAGTAAGAGAAATGATGAGACGATGTGCTTATCAAATACAAGCGTGTTAAAACTACATGACTTTGTCAAGAAGTAAAAATCAATTGAAATTAGCCAGACAATTTTGACAAGGAGGAAACTGGAACTGACTTAATTTCATGAGTGAAGAAATGTGTCAATATTTCTTTCTTTCTCAATCAATTGTTGTTTAGATGAATTTCTCAGAAGACAGCATGCAATGAAGTCAAATGAACCGCAGATGAATTCCCTGAATCTCTACACCCACACATGTATAAAATACCCAAAACACATTGAGTTCAACCACAGTAGAAGTGTTAGTTACTACACCAACATTTAGGCAAGAGTTTTTTTCAGTGCCTCTTCACTGTGAGGCGATTTTACTTCACAACCTCACTGGCGATGTTTCACACTTTGTAGTGGAGCCATTCTTGGTTTATTACTTTGAAAGACAACTGAAGAAAGAGATGTGAAAGTTTTGTGCCTTCTTCTTGTTAAACTTTATACACATAACAGGAGACCTGTGGATAGAACAAATATATCATTAAGATTTATAATAAAAGTATATAATTGTAGTAGACATAGGTGTGTATGCTTTAAAATAAAGGGGGTGGTGATTAACATTTCTGGCCTTCTCTGGGCCTTCTTTCCATTAAAATTTTTATTTATGTATGAAGTATTTAACTAGGACTTAAATATTCTACGGGATAATGAAATTACACCTTAAATGATGCAATATCAATAAATAAAATTGATATTTTGTTGAACAATTTACAGAGTTGCAGATGGTTTGGAGAACCCATTCAGCAGATTTTGTGTATCAATTCCCCAAATTGGCAGTTTAATAAATAGGAAAATCAGGAACTGGTCATTTTTACAGAAATATTCGTAATAGGTTTTATTATGACTACAAGACCCTATTTGAAATTTCAGGGTGCACACCTGTGGTTGTAACATATTACTAGAGGACGACAGGACATTCAAAAAATCTGGAGGTACTAGGCAATATCAGTGATGTAGAGAACAGTGAAGACTGGCTGAAAACTCTTAGTGCAGCGTGATAAAACAGTGCGTCATGTGTGCAGTTAATAATAACTTGACCTTCTCACACATCATGTGATGAGCATGGAATTCAAGAAACTTTAAGAATAACATTGGAAGTGCTAATTTTGTGACATCTTTTTAAAGAGAGGTAATTTCTAAGTAGAGAGAAGGAAGGAAACCTTCCTTGCAAATTTTCTTGAAAGAAATAACCAACTGAAGTATTTGCTTTGATATTGGACGGATCAAAATCATCATTCAAAAATTCATTAAAATGATCATTCAAAAATAGGGTGAAATTTTGCTTTCATTTAATACAGTTTTTCTAGCAAATTTTGGATTATTTTAAACACTCATTTATACTTTGATGTTCGTAATTATTATGCAAATGTAAAAATTTTTGGTTTTCATTATTCCCCCTCCATTGTTTGCAAGTTATTTTGATGTAGGAACTCATTTCCTCCAAAAGCAAACTTATTTTTTGAATGCTCGTTAATACCAAGAAAATTCACTTAAAATTGCATTAGAATCCTGAAAATTAGTTTGTAACTATACTATTCTATATTGAGATCAGAAATAAAGTCCATGATTATTGAAAATCCATCCACTCTGCACACTTTGTGAGGTGAAGTAAATACGTCAACATCTCAGGGCTGCACTGTAGATTAGTCATGATGGTAAACAAACTTGATAAATAATAAGATCCTCCTTGATAACTTAAAACACGCTTAAAGAAATTTCAAAAATATTTTTCTAAAATAACCTTGTAAAATATGAATTTGGAATAAAAGTTTGAGAAGTTTCATTCTTTTAAAATATGAAACAGAAATACGTCAAACAATTAAATGTAAAAAAGCACGTTTTTCGTTGTGTAGTGGGGTCAGAAACCAACAAAAAATCAATGGACTGTAGTCATTGTCAAAATGATCGACATTTTTTTCCCCTTTTTCGTCATCTTTCGACACTAGGTCCTTTTCGTAAAATTAACAATGATTATGCAACAACGCAATACTTTGCGTTAAACGCAAATTATTGAGACGATTGCATTTGTCCCTTATACGTCACGTATATCTTTACTTTTTGACACTAAATAAATAACAACGGTTTTATAATTTAATAAATGTTTTTTAATGAAATATCAACATGTTTGTTGCCCCCAATTCAAAGCTCTTTGAAGCTTCCTCTGGTACTGCCTACGATAACTTTATATTGACTCGCAAAGCACGGAGTACACGGCTGAGGTGGCTCAGGAAATGAACTGATGTGTTTGCAGTGCCTCTTACCGGGAGGTCGTACAGTTCGAGTCCCGACGGTGGCGGATTTTCGACACAGCCACATTACTAGGTCGAATTCACGCCGCTGTTTGGGGGAGAATTCCAGTGGCCGACTCTTGTGATTCGTAGTTTTCCGTGGTTTCTCCGATTAACATCAGGCGAATGCCCGAGCAGTACCCTAACAAACGGAAAACCCGTAAACAGAGGTGTAGATCACAGCCAGTTTGTGGCAAAACATGCACTACACATGCGGGAGTAATGGCCCTTGACGTAGACGCGACCGGAAACGCGAAACAATCAATCAATGGCGTGTCACTTCGTCTGACAGTCTGATTAGTCTTCGTAGTGTGTTTTGGCAAGAACACGAAATCTCTTGGACTGCGGCAGAACGTGGCTTGCAAGACACCCGTGCGCGGTGGGTTGCCTACCAACCAGGGGCACATGACGCAAGTGTAACTTCCATGAAAGATAATTTTCTACCTCAGTTCATTAGCACAAATTATCATCTTTGACCCCCTGCGTGATTTAGAAGTTTGTAATATTTATTCTGAGACATTATGTACCTAATAAAACGCAAGATAAAGGACGGAGAATTTGTGTGACTAAGAAGGCTCAGAGACACCTGTTGCCGCCAGGGGGTCGCTGAAGAGGAAGTCCTAGGGTTTGAGCCCTGGCGGTGGCTGTTTTTCGACTCTGTCCGTGATTTCTTCGACCAGGCGAATTCCAGATGCAGTACTTTAACAACCGGGCCGCCGTGCGCAATCTTTCTTTCCTCTTACGGACACGTACACTTACATCCACTACTGTACCACACATGTCGGGAGACGAGTTGTGGGCTTAAAGGTTGCCTCAACTGAGAGGGGAAATACCTGGATGGGGAATGCCCGGGAAGACGTACCCGTCGTCGCCCGATTCAGTGGGACAAGAACATCCCATTTCCCCCTTTCTAGAGAAAAGGACAAGGAACAGGCGGGGGAGATCGTAAGTGGCCCG